AACCATGGTGTATAATCGATTCATACTCGATTTCAACAGGGTGCATCAAATTTGACTTTGGAATTTTTGTTGAACTCCTAATTCAAAGTCCAATTTTATCATAAAAAATGATCAGCTCAACTTCATTAGAGTCAAATTAGGTGAACTATCGATAGTTTTCATTCCATAGAATAATTGTTAATTAGATATTTTCAAGTGTTACATTTTCAGTATTTCAAAAAATAATGATAGTTTGAAAGTTATATACATGAAATTCTTTTTTCTTAATCTTACTTTCAAGGTTAATATCTCCGAAACGTAGCGCGATATACTTTTTTTTTATATAAAGTACCAACATTATTTTGGCTCACTACCAGTCCTCATTTACAATATTACCTTCCCGGACATCCTGTATAGTTTGCAAATTTTTCCTAAAACCATTTTTCACTCATTTGGGATTGAATAAAAGTTGTCAATAACATTTAGATAGCTGTGGACACAATAGAAATGCCATGGAAACAAAACAGACATTTTTTGGCATCTCTGTCGGTCTTTGAATTAAAATGGGTTATTCAGCAGTGGAAAAATACGAAATTGTATAATTGTTATATTATGAAAATATTGCGGAAACTTCGGTAATGCAGCAAGAATTTAGTCTAAATCGGATTTCTTTTCCAGATTAACAAGCAAACAGACAGAAAGCAAAGTGCTTGATACTTGCCACTAAGTCTGAGAAAACCATCCAGTCAAGACGGACCAAACAGAAAATCCGCAGAGAGAACTGACCAGAGTATACTTTTCAGAATTCTGATCCTTATATTCGTACGGAAGGCGATATATTGATTTTTTTTTCAGATTCTCAAGCAAACAGATAGACAGATATTCACCTTTATGTCTCTATGGAAACACGACAGGTACCCTTACGAGGGGAGAGTATCAACTCGGCGTTTATAAACCCTCTCTGCAAAGGAGGTCGGCGCATGGTGGGTTAGGTATATACAGTGTTTTTCATTGCAGAGAAAATCGTTGTTTATCTGCCTACCTCGTCTGCATTGAGAGAGTTGATGAATAATCGTAAAAATATATCGCATTTCAGTTACGAATGTTGCGAACAATATTCAGACTATAGATTCATATTCTATGTACGTCTCACGATTCAAATTTCAAATCGATGCTTAGTTTTAGATCCGAGCAGCACACTGTTTGGCATACATGGTCCTTATTATAACCCACGAAATTCAAAAAGTAGCAGATGTCTACTGGGAAGACCACTACTCGGAAGGAGAGCGAATATGAAGCAATTCAGTTACGGTTGTTGGAAATATTATTCAGGTATGTTTCAGATTCAACATCAGTTTTAATTCTCATGGACTTTCTGATATGTGATATTTAGTTGCAGATCCGAAAAGCAAAGTGTTTGATACTTGTCAATAAATTGGAGAAAACAATCCAGTCAAGACGGACCGAACAGAAAATCCGCAAAGAGAACTGACCAGAGTATACTTTTGAGAATTCTGATCCTTATGTTCGTACGGAAGGCGATATATTGAATTCCTTTCCAGATTCTCAAGCAAACAGATAGACAGATATTCACCTTTATGTCTCTATGGAAACACGACAGGTACCCTTACGAGGGGAGAGTATCAACTCGGCGTTTATAAACCCTCTCTGCAAAGGAGGTCGGCGCATGGTGGGTTAGGTATATACAGTGTTTTTCATTGCAGAGAAAATCGTTGTTTATCTGCCTACCTCGTCTGCATTGAGAGAGTTGATGAATAATCGTAAAAATATATCGCATTTCAGTTACGAATGTTGCGAACAATATTCAGACTATAGATTTATATTCTATGTACGTCTCACGATTCAAATTTCAAATCGATGCTTAGTTTTAGATCCGAGCAGCACACTATTTGGCATACATGGTCCTTATTATAACCCACGAAATTCAAAAAGTAGCAGATGTCTACTGGGAAGACCACTATTCGGAAGGAGAGCGAATATGAAGCAATTCAGTTACGGTTGTTGGAAATATTATTCAGGTATGTTTCAGATTCAACATCAGTTTTAATTCTCATGGACTTTCTGATATGTGATATTTAGTTGCAGATCCGAAAAGCAAAGTGTTTGATACTTGTCAATAAATTGGAGAAAACAATCCAGTCAAGACGGACCGAACAGAAAATCCGCAAAGAGAACTGACCAGAGTATACTTTTGAGAATTCTGATCCTTATGTTCGTACGGAAGGCGATATATTGAATTCCTTTCCGGATTCTCAAGCAAACAGATAGACAGATATTCACCTTTATGTCTCTATGGAAACACGACAGGTACCCTTACGAGGGGAGAGTATCAACTCGGCGTTTATAAACCCTCTCTGCAAAGGAGGTCGGCGCATGGTGGGTTAGGTATATACAGTGTTTTTCATTGCAGAGAAAATCGTTGTTTATCTGCCTACCTCGTCTGCATTGAGAGAGTTGATGAATAATCGTAAAAATATATCGCATTTCAGTTACGAATGTTGCGAACAATATTCAGACTATAGATTTATATTCTATGTACGTCTCACGATTCAAATTTCAAATCGATGCTTAGTTTTAGATCCGAGCAGCACACTATTTGGCATACATGGTCCTTATTATAACCCACGAAATTCAAAAAGTAGCAGATGTCTACTGGGAAGACCACTATTCGGAAGGAGAGCGAATATGAAGCAATTCAGTTACGGTTGTTGGAAATATTATTCAGGTATGTTTCAGATTCAACATCAGTTTTAATTCTCATGGACTTTCTGATATGTGATATTTAGTTGCAGATCCGAAAAGCAAAGTGTTTGATACTTGTCAATAAATTGGAGAAAACAATCCAGTCAAGACGGACCGAACAGAAAATCCGCAAAGAGAACTGACCAGAGTATACTTTTGAGAATTCTGATCCTTATGTTCGTACGGAAGGCGATATATTGAATTCCTTTCCAGATTCTCAAGGAAACAGATAGACAGATATTCACCTTTATGTCTCTATGGAAACACGACAGGTACCCTTACGAGGGGAGAGTATCAACTCGGCGTTTATAAACCCTCTCTGCAAAGGAGGTCGGCGCATGGTGGGTTAGGTATATACAGTGTTTTTCATTGCAGAGAAAATCGTTGTTTATCTGCCTACCTCGTCTGCATTGAGAGAGTTGATGAATTGATAAATAATCGTAAAAATATATCGCATTTCAGTTACGAATGTTGCAAACAATATTCAGACTATAGATTTATATTCTATGTACGTCTCACGATTCAAATTTCAAATTGATGCTTAGTTTTAGATCCGAGCAGCACACTGTTTGGCATACATGGTCCTTATTATAACCCACGAAATTAAAAAAATAGCAGATGTCTACTGGGAAGACCACTATTCGGAAGGAGAGAGAATATGAAGCAATTCAGTTACGGTTGTTGGAAATATTATTCAGGTATGTTTCAGATTCAACATCAGTTTTAATTCTCATGGACTTCCTGATATGTGCAGTTGCAGATTCCAAAAGCAAAGTGTTTGATACTTGTCAATTAATTGGAAAAAACAATCCAGTCAAGACGGACCGAATAGAAAATCCGCAAAGAGAACTGACCAGAGTATACTTTCAAGAATTCTGATCCTTATATTCGTACGGAAGGCGATATATTGAATTCCTTTCCGGATTCTCAAGCAAACAGATAGACAGATATTCACCTTTATGTCTCTATGGAAACACGAGGGGAGAGCCCCAGGAAGCCCTTTCTGAGCAAATATGAAGAAAGAAACATTTCAACTCACAGAAGTTTCAACTCACAAAAATTCCAATTTTGTCATGTGTAGAATAATGTGAATAATCTTTCTTGCCCACCCTTGTGTATTGCAATTCAAAAGTCCATTATCACAATAGGTATTTGAAAGAGAAAGGGACATACATATTTTTCCTAGTCCTAGTTTCTGGAGACTTCATCAGAAACTTACCATGCAAAATATGAACTGTTGATCATTTCAATCATGTTCTTTCAGATGGGCACTACAAATAGTTAATAATCAGTAATAATATATATCTATGAATCACAACTTTACCTTGTTTTCATTAATTGGAGCAATGAAAGTGGAAAAAGGTAAAGGATATAGGAAGTTTTTTCAACTTTTTGTAGTATAGGTACATATATAGGAATTCCCTTTCGTGCGATCCAAGCGATGAAAAAAAAATTCATACATCCAGTTTTCAAATTCACATTCAATGCTCCACGATTATCCATTTTTCCATCCAACTGAACCGATTTTTCATTTTCAGAAAAGACTTCCTGTGTTTACTTGAGTTCCTAAATGTACTTGACACTGCTGTTTTGACGTTTTTGATTATACAAAAAACATACATTTAGGAACTCTAGAGTTTACTAGTGCAACCATCAACAGAACACAATTGATTTCTTGGTTTTTGAGTGATATGTTGATTCATGATTTATAAAATAATGTAGAATTGTGTCGGTAATTAATATGAAGTTCTTGTCCTGTACTCAAGACAATCATGAAAAGAAAATCAAAGTAATTTGTAGAATGAATTACATGAAATATCAAATAAATGAACAGAATAACAAACAACAAAAATGACCTTGAATGCCCTGATAAACTGGTTCAAATGTGCCCACCAGATGATACGTATCCGAATCATCACCTTGCCAATGGGCGTGTACACCTTAGTAAAACTTTTAACTCAAACCATGTTTATAATGATCCTTCTATACATAAATAATGTCACGTCATCGCCTCGTTTTCAGAGGTCCAAAAAATCGGGGATTTCAATAATTTATTATAAAACGTAGGGAGCTCACAGCAAGAAACGGTTTGCGGTGGTGAGCTAGTTTGGGTCAGTTCTATCGAATTATGAAAATTTTTTTTGTGATATAAGCCCATTCCAGATATTTTGTCCGTTTCAATTTTGTGAAATCGATTTTACCGAAACTGGATTTCTTTGGTTCAATTTTCTCTCATTTGATTTAGCAGATAGATTTTTGAACATATTTATTGTCTTAATGAATCCAAAGACACAATTTTTAGATGACCTTCATTATCACTTTGCAAGTTTATACCCATTTCTTCAAGGATTTCAGAACTAACTGTGCCATTCTGATGCAAGCCAGCTATCATCTTCTGATTATCTGGATTATTCTCACATAGATTTCTTATTGCCAAAATACACCATTGCATGATAACTATACAACATTAAGAAAAACATCAATTTTTGATTCATCAGAATGAGGAAATGTCCAAACAATAATATACAGGGAGGGACATCTCATACGGGAGGGGTATACAGGGTGACATTCAAAGGCTGAACCTTCCAGTGATTGTAAAAAAAAACACTTCATACAAACACCTAAGCCCAAAAATGCATAGTTTTCAATCATGGTGGAATTGCAAGTGTTTTAGGAAAGTATGATTTTTTTTATTTTTGATAACAGTAATACATAACCTTCAAAGCATCTTAGGGATGATCTCCAGAGGCTCATTTACCTTCTTTTGGCCTTTTCAAGAGCTACGATTCGCCGTTCAAGGAGAATTTTAGGCAATTCTTCAAGACTGCTTGAGAAATAAGTTATATTAATTCTTTGAGTTGGTAATCAATGAGTTTGTATATAGGTTTATAATATTGTAAATAAAAATTGAAAAATGAAACACTCCAATCTCCTCTTAAAAATCAGATATTGCTGTAAATCGTAAACTATTGTGTTAAAAAGGGATCACACTTCAATCCAAAGCAAAATGAAGCCAAGTTCAACTACTCAATTTCGCCACAGGGCGTTAAAAAGTAAAGGATGAAATAGTAAGTATGGTTTTCCTTGTATAATGATCAAGTCATCAGCTTTTGAGAACTAATATTTAGGCTAACATCCGGAACATGATTCTACCATTTGACCAAAATTTCACAAAAATCGGACAAGTATTAAAAAAGTTACAGGATGAACAATTTGGGCAAATTTTTTGGTGGTCAGTTATTTTTTGCCGGTGAAATTTAGCATAAAAAATGTAGCAAAACAAGATCATATAGTGAAAACATTAGAAAAGGATACAGGGATTTTTTGTGTCCATGTTACAGCAGTCCAAAATTATTGGTATAATTTCTGCAGTCCTGGCCTATAAATAAAGTAAACTTTTATAATAATAATTCAACATTATTATACCTTTACTTACCAAATCTTGTAGTTGGGTATTTTTCCAACACAAATTCCCAATCAACCTGACCAAATCTGCTTTGAAACCAAATGCAGGATGCCTACCAATATCTCCACTAATAGAATCACATTCTGAGAGTTTTTGAACAGGGGTAAAACAATTGTCTGAAGTTTTTCCTAGTCTGTGTACATTTATCAGCCATACTCCAGCATTTATCAGAATATCTTTAGAGTTTTGCAATTTGCTCAAGTACTCTTCTCTACTAGAAATTGATGATAGTATTTCTAGTATCAGAGATATTTCATGAGCTTTCAAGCCATCCTCCATGTAGGCCTGAACAACAGTTTCTCCACTTTTCAAGAAATTGTTGATGAGAATATTCAACCCACAATCAGGTAAACTATGTGGATTATTTTGAATTTGCATTTGATTCTGGATTTCAAGAATCTTTAACCTATTTTCAACTTTCAGGCCTTCATAAATATTCCAAAATTCAGGCTTTGAAACACAGCTTTCTAAGTAAAAGCACATGAACTCATTTTGATGTTCACTATCATTCAAGTCAAAAATCATCTCTAAAGTTTCTATATCACATAAGGTAACAAACAAGGATATATTGTAAACCAATGCTGAACACTCATATACAAATATTTTCTCACTGATGAACTTTTTAATGTAATAAAAGAATCTGTTATGAATAGTTTCTGTAGTAGTTCTATTTGCAGATATAAGATTCAGTAAAAACTGTAATATGATTTGAACAAACTTCTGTTGCTTTTTTACACATTCAAACAATCTCACAACACTGACTGAAATGTCTGTTTTTTCCACAATGTAATTTTGAGTTTGAGGACTGGTAGAACAATTTCTGAGTGCCCAGAATAGTTCTGACAGTATTTTCATTGTCTCCTCATTTGAGGACTCCTGTTGAAAAGAAGTAGTTGCATTTTTCAGCTGATAAGATAAGAAAATGAGGACTTCTTCAGTCACATTGATTCTAGAAAAAAAAAAATCAACTAAGTACCTAATATAGTAATTAGTAATTTATAGTTGTCTTTATCATACCTCTTTGGTTGGCCATTATCAAGTCTTTGGATTTTGAAAAAATCCTTTACAGATGGTACAAAATCACCATAGGGTATCGTCATGTCATAACATTTTTCCAACTTGATCTCTGGGCATATATCAATGCACGGTTGATCAAACTGGTTAGTCCAGAGGAAAAGGTTCTTTGGAATCATTTTTCATAACTATTAATCAGCTTACCACTGTCTATTACTCACAATTAATCGATAAATCATTAATTCCAGGTTTATTATGTTTATTGTCACTCAGTATTTATTTTTATATTTTTATAGGTTAAGGTTAAAGAACTAAGGTAATATTTTTGCGATGGTGCTTGATGCTCACTTGATGCTTTATTTGACAAGGTTGGTAGAACTGATGATGTAAAAATTATGGCTGGTACAATTCCATAATTATATTACAAGTGGCAACACTGTGTAGGTAGTCATTAGTCGGATGTGGTTACGGCGTATATGGTAACGGCACGTTGAGGCCAAGGTTATTGAGACCTAAAGACCTTAGGTGTAGAGAAATAGGCTGAGAAGTAGGAAGAAAGAATTCAAAAAACCATATGAACGAATTTTTGAGCGGAGATAGTGGAGGACTAAGCGGAGATTGTAGAGAGTTAACTTGAAGATATTCAGCAGGTGGTTTACAAACTATGAGAACTATTGTGGGTTGAATATACAATAAAGATTCATATGGAATTATTGAATTATAAATAGGACGCCTGACCCTCCAAACAGATTCTTCATGGAAACGTTAAATGTATAGCAAGCTATCTTCTTCAAGATGACCAGCAATTTGTACAAAGAATGATCACTTATAGTAATCTGATGTAATCTTGATAACCCATATCTCTATTTCAATTTCGAAGACAAATGAAGAATTCCACTATATTATAGACAAATAGTACCATGTTTAGGTATCATATTTTAACTATATTCTCATCAGATACAGATCCTTCAAACTCTTTATAGACTTCACACCAAGGATAATACTTTTTCAATAAAGAATATGAGAGTATACATGTGTTCATGACAAATTCTTTATGAAAATGAAAGTGATAATTTGAGCTTACCAGGTTCTGGTACCAAAGATCAAGACATTCATATCCATAAAATATTCATATTCCAACCATTTGTTTCAATTGGCCTCTGCTGGTGCGCCTGCAGGCATCATCTGGAAAAAACAATATTAATTTTCATTGTCAATTCTTTCGCTGGTTTCCACATTATATGCCATTTTAATATACTGCCACGGTATCTTACTTTTTTCTCTGAATAATTCAAGGAAAATTTGAAAATTCACGAAAGGCACAATCCAAAATGGCCGATGAAGACATTCCTCAAGTTCTCATTCTTCTTCTGATTCTTCTTACTTTCTTTATTATAATGGCCATAGCTTCTGGGCCTGTTCGGCTTTGGATTATTGTTCGTTATGTTTTCCTTGTTCCGCAATGTTCCGTAATCCGTACTCCTCTACTCGTCATCTGTCGTCTATTTGTAATGAGTAATGACAGACAGAACTCCCTAACTGGTGTTCTGTGTCTATGTCTATAGTTCTGTGAACAAAATAATAGATTAAAAATTAGAAATCATTCAACTGATTGAAAATTTTAACTCAGCCCCGTTTACTAGCTAACTTTCCTACCAAACGAATAAGGTAAGTATTCACACTCATTTTATATAAATTCCATATATTTCACCTGAACCTATGCGGTATCTACTCGTTTTTATTCTGCTTTGTCATTATACCTAACCTAACAACTCATCATATTTTTGAATTATTCGAGATGTTCCTCACAAGGAGCGAATACGACCGTGGGGTCAACACCTTCTCTCCAGAAGGCCGCCTCTTCCAAGTAGAATATGCCATCGAAGCTATCAAGCTAGGATCAACAGCCATAGGAATATGCACCAGTGAAGGAGTAGTACTAGCAGTAGAGAAACGTATCACTTCGCCTCTCATGGAGCCCACCACTATAGAAAAGATCGTCGAGGTCGACAAACACATTGGGTGTGCTGTGTCTGGGCTAATGGCTGATTCTCGTACAATGATAGACAGGTAAAGTTCATGAAAATTCTGATGCAACCATCATTGAGAGCTCACTACTTTTTCAGAGCTAGAGTTGAATGCCAAAACCACTGGTTTGTGTACAATGAGAACATGAGTGTTGAATCTTGTGCTCAAGGTGTCTCAAACTTAGCTATTCAGTTTGGAGACTCTGATGATGATGGGGCTGCCATGTCTAGACCTTTTGGGGTAGCCATCTTGTTTGCTGGTATTGATGAAAAGGGCCCACAGCTCTATCACATGGATCCCTCAGGTACATCTATTCAGTGTCAGAACTTATTTTATAGTGATTAATCTTGTGTTTTGTAGGCACTTTTGTGCAATTTGATGCTAAAGCAATTGGTTCTGGCTCAGAGGGGGCTCAGCAGAGCTTGCAGGAGGTGTACCATCGCAGTATGACTCTTGAAGAAGCCACAACTGCTGCCCTTACCATCCTGAAACAGGTCATGGAGGAGAAACTCAATGCTTCTAATGTTGAGGTCATGACCATGACACCAAAAGACTTGTTTCACATGTTCCCCAAGGAACAGGTTGAAGAGGTAATTGGAAAACTGACATAGAATGGTTGATTGTTTTTGTATGGATATTTTTTAAGATTAATTGTGGGAAAGAGTATTTACATGAATCCACTCCCTACATTTTTACATGTTAAGAAATAAAATCACAGCTTCTGATTGAACATTGAACCGGTTTTTTTCAAAACCTCTACCAATCCTTAATTATGAAACAATATCCTGTGATGATGATCCCTAGCTGTATGATCTGAATGAACTTGGCAACCTTGCTTAAGATGAGGAAAGGAGAAGAACAAACTCCTTATATCTTTGAAATTTTAGGAATGATAGGATGTATTGAATTATGAAGGAAACAATTTCCATTATTTATTGAGAATTTTAGTTTAAATTATTCATTAGGATTTTATTGAAAGATTTTATCCACTGTATGACAGCTCTGAATTTGTATAGATTAATACTTTATAGGAATTTACATATTTAATCCACCCTATATTCAATGGTTAGACATTGGTTGGTTTCAAAGGTGTCAAATAGCAGTAATGTTGAAATCATTGTAGTTCCATCAACCAAAAACTGTTCATCTGTTGATTATTGAAAATTAGAACAACTTCTTCAATAACAGACAGTATTAGACAAATGGCACTAATCTTGATAGCACAAAATGTCTGACCTTAATTGAAATAGGTATGGTCAATTCAGAAAATTAGCTTGATCCTTTCTCCTAAGTGGCAATGGAATTCCAATCAAAATGAACTACTAATTATAGTGAACACATGGAATGACTGCTGGCTTTGTTCAAAATTCCAGCATTCCAGTATTCCAGTCTCCACTATGTATATCTCACTCTGTAGAATCAGAGATTTTGGTAGAATGCTGTAATGGCTGTAGACTTGCTAAAATATTCGAATTTACCGCCAAATGCATGATGCTTACTCCAAGTTTGTGATAGCCATCTATTAGACGGCTATAAAACTATCTTATTAGTACCAGAAACGCTTGATAGGTGGCCGCTTGATAAAATAAATCGCTGTACCTTTGCTGTACCTGACTCAATCGAATCGAAGTTTTCTACTTGGGATTGCTGATTTGGAAACAGTTTCCTCATTGAAAGTTCCATTATTTGTACAGGTTTCATAAAGATGGCAACACTGTCTGCATTGAGCATGATTGCCAAAGCACAATTCTATTAGTCTTTCATTTTCACCAATTCTTTTGAACTATACCAGCGTACATACATTTTTGAATTTACGCTGACTGAGTGTATAATCTCTGCGCTGACTATACATACCTAAATATTACGTTCTCATTATTTCCTAGTAAATAAGTAACTTGACAAAAAATGTTTTCTATATAGATATCATCAGAGGCGGGTTTTGGAAGAAGATATACTTATGTTAGGAAAATAAATAATATTAACATATTAATATATTCTTGGAAATATCAGTGGGATGCAGTCTGGACCAATGAATTAATTAGATTTCTTCGTTATTTGTCGAGCTTTCGAAAATTTTTATTTTCTTTATCAAGACTAACTGAAAACATCGAATGGAACAATAATATTAAAATATAAATGTACATCAATTGAAATTGGTATACTTACAAACATGAAATTCTATATAAAATTAGCACAAAAAGGAAACATAGGTGTATAAATAAAATGAAATGATTTGACAAAAAAATGTCATAGATGATGGTTGACTCATTTGAAGATGTTGAATACAGAGTGAGATGAATACTGATATATATAAAAATACTGATATACAAAAAATGTTTGTAGATTATATATAAAACATGAATCATTCAAGGAGGACGAGTTGATTTATTATCTTTTTGTTTCTTTAGAAGGAATGTATAAATGGTACTAAGATCGTTGATGTCTGTTCTTTTGTTCATCGTTTTATCATTTTCATTAATATGTACCATTTCAAGAAAGAGGCGTTTGTTGAGATTTTTTTCATAATCCAGAATTTTGGCATTATCATAATTCATTATATGATCTTCATCTATAACATTTTTTGTATATCAGTATTTTTATATATATCAGTATTCATCTCACTCTGTATTCAACATCTTCAAATGAGTCAACCATCATCTATGACATTTTTTTGTCAAATCATTTCATTTTATTTATACACCTATGTTTCCTTTTTGTGCTAATTTTATATAGAATTTCATGTTTGTAAGTATACCAATTTCAATTGATATACATTTATATTTTAATATTATTGTTCCATTCGATGTTTTCAGTTAGTCTTGATAAAGAAAATAAAAATTTTCGAAAGCTCGACAAATAACGAAGAAATCTAATTAATTCATTGGTCCAGACTGCATCCCACTGATATTTCCAAGAATATTATTATAGAACAGTCACGAAAGCTTCCCCTTGTTACATATTAATATACCTATATTTGGTCTACATCTGTTTCAAAAATAGGTTAGCAGCGTCAATAGGTATAATACCTACTTGATACCAGCAAAAAGGCAAAAACTCTAAGCTTATTATTGCCATTGCAGAAGATAGGGGTCTAGTGTCCTTGTAACTTCGCCGTTTTCCAATAAAGGTGCCTTTTTTACAAGGGGTATCGTAAATTCATTGATGATTATTATTGAAGTGGATATGATTTAAGTACAAGTAGTGGTCATTGAAAAAATACAAAACTTGACAATTACCAATAATCGCGATTTTTTTTTCGGTCTGCTTATCCATGTGGGCTACAAAAGCAGGAAACAGCTGATGGTCTCCTTTGTTTTTCCCTGACACCTATAACAATAAACAAGTACCCGAACGATATATAGGTATAGAGTAATGGGCATCCAGATTATAGATGATGGTACTATAATTTATCATCGACATTTCAGAGCAAATTTTGTGTTATATATGAACTTACCTATAAATAATTATTTTGAAAAACGACACCCTTATAAGTATTTGTTTTATTTTTTCTATACGCCTTATATGATATTAGGTCAACATTCATGTCGTAAACATAACTCCTTTTTCTATATCATTTTCGAACCTATCCTCATGAACAATAAATTGGCAATAAATAATGGTGATAGACTGTTATTGGGTTGTTCCATATAGTTATTTACCTAACGAGAGCGGAAAGTAATACTTTCGTGTGTTTTTGTCCATATAATTTATGAAAAGAAAAACTGTTTTCGTACGCAAAAGTACAACTAAACTACGCAGCACTAATTTCGTCGCACCCCAAAATTTTGCCTCTGTTGAAATATGAATAACTTTTTTCTGCTTTGAACGATTTGAACTCGGATCACACTGTTCGCTAGCCCAGTCCTTTAGCTATAATCTCGTTATTCTTTGAAACATAAGGTTCTTCACATAAAATCGCTACAGGGTGTTACCTGAAACTGTGCAAAATTTCGGAAATTTCAAAAGTATCCCAAATGAAGAAAAACTTTTTCCAACTTTGACAGTAGAAGCATGTAGATGATCTCATTATCTTGGGATCGTTCTCGAATTGTCTCCTTATCTCTTTTATTTACATCAGAGTGGTCTCAATAAATTAACTTTTCGATTTTGCAGTCATAACTTTTTTCCTCGCAGCCGATTTTTGAAATCTCAGGCTCATTTCAAAGCCTAATCTTCAGATGAAGAGATATGAAGATCAGAATTGACTCAAGATGAACATTATACGGTGTGTCTCACTTCTAATGGAAGCACCCCTGTATCTTTCTTAATTGTTGAGTTAGGATTCTTAAATTTGCAAGAGCGTTATTACTTAATCAATTCTACTGGCTATCGACCTAGGTCTTTATTTTTAATATACAGTGTGTCCCACTTACCATGCTCACCATGGGTATCTTTTTAACGGGGAGAGATACGAGGTCGGTTAAATGACACCAAATGTGGAGTTTGTCAAGGCCAACTATAATGTGAAAACATATTTTGATAAAATCTATTCGTTTTTGTTTTATACGCAAAAAACAGATTTTGGTCATTTTCATGTCTCCTCCGTAACTTCTTTATTTATGAAAATATTCAAATAGGAATTTCATATTCTCATGGCAGTTTTTCGAAGTGATTCCGAAAAAAATATGAAATTTATACCAACTCTTCTAGAATTTGAGATATCAGCACCAACTTTAGTTTTTCAAATGAAGGTCATAGCTCACTATGACCTAGTTACAAATAACTTTTTTTTCTCTCACAGATGATATGTCGCAGTGAAAGTTTTCTGTTGATAACAACTGAGTTATCCTCATTTATACAAAAACAAAAAATTATTTGGAAGCCGCCATCTTGAATTTATGAATTTTAACAAAAAAATCATAATCTCCGACCTCAAAAACCCCCACTTACCAATTTTGAATGGAATCGGACCAAATCTTGTCCGCCATCTTGGAGCAGCCATTTTTTTTTTAATTTCAACAAAAATTCCATAACTCCGATTAACTTAGAATTCGGCAGGTGTTCATAATTTCGGTGACAATACATTATGGAATTCTTGTTGAAATTTAAAAAAATGGCTGTTCCAAGATGGCGGGCAAGATTTGGTCCGATTCCATTCAAAATTGGTGAGTGGGGGTTTTTGAGGTCGGAGATCATGATTGTTTTGTTAAAATTTATAAATTCAAGATGGCGGCTTCCAAATAATTTGAATTTGAATAAATGACGATAACTCGACCGTTGTTATCAACACAAAACTATTACTGCGACATATCATCTGCAAGAGGAAAAAAAGTTATTTGTAACTAAGTCATAGTGAGCTATGACCTACATTTGAAAAACTGAAGTTGGTGCTGATATCTCAAATTCTAGAAGAGTTGGTATGAATTTCATATTTTTTCGAAATCACTTTGAAAAACTGCCATGGGAATGTGAAATTCCTATTTGAACATTTTCATAAATAAAGAAGTTACGGAGGAGAAATGGAAATGATCGAAATCTGTTTTTTGCGTATAAAACAAAAACGAATAGATTTTATCAAAATATTTTTTCACATTATAGGTGGCCCTGACAAACTCCACATTTGGTGTCATTTAACCGACTTCGTATCTCTCACCGTTAAAAAGATACCCATGGTGAGCATGGTAAGTGGGACACACTGTATTTTTTAATATTCTATTTCCATCGTCACAGCGAACTGTACTAGTATTTTGTTCTTCAAGACAAAAATACGAATTTTTGTTTCAGATTC